ACTATACTAAAAATAAATAAGATAATACATATATGAAATACTAATATAATAATAAAATAATAATAATAAAATATGTTGTAATAAAAATATATATAAATATAAAAATGAAGAAACAGGGTCAACAATATGAAAGAATTGGGTTCATGCGAAAAGTGTCTAAGTAGTTTTTTAAAAGTTTAATAAAGAAAAAACTAAATAATATATATTTCATTTGTTATTATTAGAAACTAGAAGTTCTGAAAAATGAAATATTATAGAATAAAATATCTTTTGAAACTATGGGGCAAAGTAGCCTTGTGTGAAAATCACACGATCTTAATTAAATTTTTTAGTTGATCATTTATTAATAGATGATGACGTAATTAACTCTATCCTTAATTTACCTTAATTTTTTTTTTATAATATAATTATATTTCTATTAATTAGATAAATCCATTTTTACTATATCAGTAATTTTTTTATTATATAAATAATATAACTTTTTTAAAAGAGAAAAAAATTAACACAAAATATTATATAAATTATTAAATAATAATATCAATTATTACATAGAAACAAGTAATTAATATAATTATTATTCATGCAATTAAAAAGGAATTTAGTTATATTTATGTACTAAAATATTAATAGATATTAATAGATATTATTAATTATTGTTAGATATTATTAGAAAATTATTATAAACAAATTAGTTATAAATGTGATAATTATAAATAACATTAGTTTATAGTTAGGCAAATCAATAATTCTCACACACAACACATACCACCCACATATAATACATATAATACATATAATGCTATGAACATCTATGATCTAATGATCTCTAATAATAAAAACCATTGTATAAAAAAAAAAAAAGAAAAAAAAGAAAAATAAGGGGGTTGTGTGTGTAACTTTTAATTTGTGAAATGTACCGTGATAGAAACACTGATTTGATTGTTGAATGACATATTTAAATTATAAAGTATATATATATAAAGGGAATCGTCAAAAAGGAGAGAAAATCATTAAATAAATAAATAATTGGATAGTTGAGGATTGTTCTTTTTTAATATTATATAGGATGTACATAATCAGCTGACAATCAATTGTTGACTTTAAAAGTTATTAACGATTAATTGAAAACGTGCATGCAAAAAAAATATTACCAAAGTGGCTTTTGCGAAATTTGATCTAAATTCGGTTTAAAAAATCGGTATTACAATGTTGAATTCACATGGTATAAAGTGAATTCCGTAGTCAGCCCACATGTAAAAAACTTATTTTCATCTGATATTCATTATAGTTAAAAAAAAATTATATATATATTATTATTATTATTATTATTATAAAATTATTTTATTATTAATTATTATTTATTTATTTATTACATTATTATATTCGAAGTTTATATTGTTGATTCAAAAAAATCTTATAACTTTCAACACTTCATATGTTTCATATGCTTCATATGTTCATATGCATGATTTGCAACCAAAACAATTGCGCCGCCTCCCTTCTACTCTTTTCTCATAATCCACTTTTGAACTTTTTTCACCATTTTTTTGTCATTTTTTTTGTTATCGACTTTTATTCTATTCTTTACTACTTTAACGACGACCACCCACCATCATCAACACTTCCACTTTTTAACTACCCAGTCAAAAAAAAAAAAAATAAAATAAAAAAAAAATAAATCTTTTCCATCCATTCTTATATTCTCGTAAGTCCTTAAATATATATAATTTTATTGTTTTTTCCTTTTCTCTTTGTGTACTTTAAAAAAAACCACTTGTGTATTGTATTGTATTTTTACTCCCTATATATATAGATATATATATAAATAAATACTACTAGTTTTTTTTTTTATTATTGTTATTTATTAACTTTAAATAATTCTTTTGTTTTCCGTCTTGGTTTCTCTGTTTTGCATCCAAACTCTATATTATCTTTTATTTTATTTTCAATCAACTTTTTTTTCTTCATTTTTCATATAACTCTTTCTTCTTCTTCTTCCTCTTCTTCTTCTTCTTCAAAACTATATATATATCTCTCATTCTACTACCACTACCGACCATTTTTCGTCTTTTTTCTTTAACGAAAAATATATAAATATAAATATATATATATATATAAATATAATATAAAAAAAATGTATAATCAAACACAACCACCAACTCTTCCTCCAATTACAACTGCTGTTGGTAATGGTGTGGAATATGTTTCTAGTAATAACGATATATCTCTAACTAAACAAGAAGAAGAAACTTTTAACTCCTTACCTCCAATTCGAACTACTACACCAATGACCGATAATAATAACAATAATAACAACAACGATAACAATAATAATAATAATAAAAACAACAACATCAATAACGATAGTAATAAAAAAAATAATAATAATTCGAGAATGTCCATAAATCAGTTATGCAATGACCCAGACGAAGAAGTAAAAGAGGCAGCTGCTGTATTAGAAAATATGAAACAAACTTCCACTCGTTCAACTTTGGGTTTGTTTTATTTTATTCATATTCATATTTTTTTTTTTTCCTTTTTATTTTATTTATTTATTCTATTAGATATATATATTTTTTATTTTTGTTTTTATTTTTTTTTTCTTTTTCTTTTTCTCTTATTTTTTATTTTATTTTTGGAGTTTAATGGGGGTTAATGGGATTTTTATGATTTTATGGGATTTGATTAGATTTGATGTGAGATTTGATGAAAATTCATGAGATCAACAGTATTAATAATAATTATAAATATATTGTAATATTTTATAGAAACATCTTCACAGCAAGACACATCATCTCCTCACGAAGCAACATTAGCAAATCCAAACGGTGAAGGATTTATGTCGCGATTAATGAATGCATATGAACAGGGTAAAGCAACATCCCCTTTCATAAAATTTACTAGTGAAATGGTTGAATCATCAGTCTCTAGAATTTCTGAAAAAATTCCTGGTTTAGATAAAATAATGGATAGTAATAATAATAATAATAACAATAACAATAACAATAATAATAATAATAACAATAACAATAATGATAATAATTATAATAATTATAATTATAATAATAATGACTATAACAACAACAACAACAACAACAATAATAATAATCATAATCAAAATAATATTGTAAATACATCTTTGAATGTATCAAATGTATCATCATCATCATTATCATCATCAAGCAATTTATCATCAAATAATGAATATCGTAATGATCATCATGGAACTCTTTCTCATTCATCATCTTCAACATCATTATCATCATCAATATCATCATCTAATATTAATACTTCACGATCGCATCATAAAATTTCGAAATCAAATCAATCAAATGATTCACAAAACAGTTGTTCTTATTATGCTCCCTACAATTATCTTAATAATAATAATAATAATTCCACAGTATCATCGCCTACCACCACTTCCTCCTCCTCTTCCACCACCACCGCAACCGTGATACGTAGTCGATGGCATCAAATGTTAGTTGGAGCAGGTGCGACCGCGGGTGCGGCGGGAGCCGTTGTGAGCGAAGAAGCCATGAAGAGTTTACAATATTGTCTTCAATGGTTAAACGTAAGTTTATATATATATATATATTAAAATTTATTTCCGATCCATTTTTTAATTTTATTTTTATAATAATAACGAAATAATAATAATAATAATAATCTATATCTATATATTATTACTATTTTTAGTACGCGGCACAACATATAGATCATCAAATTGCGGTTTTACGAGACTTTATCGTTCAACTTACAACTCCTTCATCAAGTGGAAGTGTCATAACTTCTCCTACATCAACGCTGGCCTCAATTAAAAGAGAAGTAGTTGATACTCTTAGGAAAGTGATTGAGGTAGTATCTAAATATGCTAGTAGTTGTCTACCCGATCATGCTAAATCTAGAGTTCGAAGTTTCATTTTAAATTTACCAACTCGTTGGGCATCTATAAATCATATTGATACTTCACTTTCGCCACGTTCATCGCCTCATTTGGGTCCTACTCATGACCCAAATCATCAAACCGCCGATTATGCCCGTCGATTATTGAGTTTGGCCACAGAATCCCTTGGTATGCTTAGAAATGTTGGTGATATATTTGGTGACACCGTGGATCGTGCTGAAGCTTGGATATATCGTTTAAGAGTACTTGGTGTGAGAGGTAATGCTATTGATCACACCGCGGCTTCTCAATTTGAACAACCAATTGGTTGGTCTACCTCAACTTCATTACCTCAACAACAACAAAATGGTTCCATACCTAATGGTGGTGGTTACGCTTCTCCTTATGGTCAACCTACTTCACAACATGCTTCTTCATCCCCTTCTTCTACCGGTTCACGCTCTCGTCGATCGTCTAGCTCTAATCGGATGAATAATCATGCGTCTCGAAAGCATATCCGTCCAACAATTTTTCAAAATAATGATGAAGATGAAGATATTGATACCGATTCTTCAACCGATTCGGATGTGGAAGAAGATAAACGAATGGAAGATAATCGTTCACATCGTTCTCCAAAATCTTCAAATGTTACGAAATCAGCATTGCAACATAATGGATCGATTAGTGCAAGGAAGAGAAAGAAGGCAGTGAAAAAGGATGAAAATGATAAAATGGATCTTTCATAACTTTATGATTATTATATATTAAAAAAAAATCACTATTATTATTTTATGAATGAAAGTTGTATACCTTTTAAAAAATATATTTTTTTAGCATTTTTTTTTCTTGCATAACTTAGAAAATTAATTTCTCAAAGACGATAGAATGATGGTTGTTTCTTTTTTGTTTTTTTTTCTTTTGTATATTTTATATTAACCAATTACCATCATCACATTTTTTCATCATTAAAACATTGTATTTCTTGTTTTGGTTTGATTATTATTATTATTATTAGTATTATTATTATATTTATTCTCATGATGATTATTATTTTCTTTGGTTGATTGTCAATTTTTTCATTTTAAAAAAATGACATTGTGGGGGGTTTTTTTATTTTATTTTATTTTATTTTTTTTATATTTTAGTCAACTTGAATTTTGAAATCAATGATCCTAGTTTTTTAATTTAGTATTTACTATTATTATTACTACTATTATTACTACTACTACTATTACTACTATTACTAGAAGTAGTATATTTTGGGCATTGAACATTTATTTGTTATCTTCTCTCCTTTGTCTTTTTTTTAAAACCTTTCTTTCTTTCTTTCTTATTTTCTTTTTTACACCAATTTTGGAAATAACAACGAAAATTTGTTCTTTTTATATATGATATATATAAACTTGTATTATTTTTTTCTTGTTACTATTATTTTTTTTTTTGATTATTTATTTATTATTATTGTTGTTATTATTATGGTGTATATTGTATTGTTTTGTTTAGCAAAAATCATTTAGTATTTTGTGTTAAACTTTATTTTTATATAATAATGTGTTCATTTATATATAATTATATTATATTATATTATTATCATTATTATTAGTTTGTTATTGTTATTCCTTTATTGTTTGAAAAGGGAGAAAAAAAAAATTCATGAAAATTGTTCAAGGGATGATCTCTCTCTCTTTCTCTCTCTCTATATACACATTACCCACACTCTTTTTTTTTTTTTTGTATTATTAATTTGATAATTAATTTGTTTTCAATATATATAAATATGACTATATATATATCTCTCTCTTTCTTTTTTTACACAGTGTAATTTCAATTATTTTTTTTTTGTATTTTGAAAAATAAAAAACTTTTTTTTACCTGTCTAATAATAATAAAAAAAAATATCTTTTCAATTTTTTTTTTTTTTTTGATGTTCAAACGGTTCACAATAAACAATAAACATATTAATATCAGTTGGGTTAGATGCGAAATATATACTATTATTATTAATAATTTAATAATAATCTAATTTGTAAACAATTGTTTTGATTGAAATAGTATAGTTATCATCATCTCATCTCTTCTGATTTCATCATTTTTAGATCATGATATTCTCATGATTTGTCCTTTCCTTTTTTTTCAAAATAATAATTTTACTTATGAAAAAAAATTTATTATGATTATGATGAAATTTTGATCAATTACAAATAAATCAAGTGACCTTTATCTCCCGCTCGAATATACATACATGTTATTTGATAAAGTACAATGGAAAAATCAAATCTTTTGTTTTATTACAAAAAGTTCTAAAGGTCAATAAGTCAATGATCATTTTTATGACGTGACTTTAACGATATTTTAAAATTTGATAATTTGATTCATATAATGTTTTAATTAGGTTCTTGTATGAAACCATTTTAGTTTTCCGTTCAGTTTGCCCTTCATCTTGGGCTTTAAATGTCATCATTACATTAAAAAGAATAAATAAATATAAATAAATAAATAAATATATATATCTTATACATATATATATATATATATATTAATTTACTTTTATTAATTAAAAATTATGTTAAATTACATAATTCGTTTCCCTTAAAATATTTATATATAAAAAAAAAAAAAACCATTTAAAAATATTTTAAATATGTATAGTAAAATAATAATAATACCTTTTCTTAAGAAGTATTATTATTGTTTAAACATTATAGAAATTCGTGAAATCTTTTAAAATACAATTCGCATCCACTTCCGAAAATTGTTCATGAAAAAATTTACTTAAAGAATCAATAAATTGGGGATCTTTAACCTTTTCAATACCTGTAGTTGAAAGTTTTGATTCTTTTGAAATTTGTGAAACCTCCCCTTGAGATGTTGATGAAGTTGAAGTAGTTGAAGTTGAGGTTGGAATTGAAGTTGAAGTGCTAGCAGATGTTGTTGAAATTGAAGTAGTTGTTGTCGCGGATTTTGATTGTTCCGCGACATTCGAATCACTCGTTCCAGATTTTTGAACTAAATGTATTGTCGTATCATTACTAATTCCATATTCCGAAAGAGGTTTATTATCAACTAATGCTTTCCCTTTAAATATTAATCGTTGATTTTCGGGTGATATTGAAGCAAGTGATCTCAATTTCTCTTTTAATCCCAACACAGTCTCTGAATCATTTAATTGTGTAGAATAGGTTTTTCCACCTTTCAATGATTTAATATTTAATTTAATTAATGTACCTGTACCTACATTTCCTACATTTTTTTTTTTTTTAAAAGAAAAAAAATAAAAAATAAAATAAAATATTTGTAATCCCGAATTAATAATTATTTACAAAAAAAAAAACAAAAAAAAAAAGTTACCTTGAGCGTTTTCTGATGTACTAAATACGGTAGATTTGGTAGTAGTTTTAAAACTAGAGAATGCGGCAGTCTGAAAAAAAAAACCTTACCTAAGAGGAAACTCAAATGAAAAAAAATTAAATTTAAAATAAAAACAAATTAACATCATTTACCCTAACAGGAGGTTGCGGTCTTGTTTGAGGAGGAGGTGCAAAATCTTGTGGATACTTTACGGCACGAGAACTAAGTGAACCCAAAAATTGGTTTGCAAAATTTGTTTCTTCAACTAAATTCATTATCTTTATTTTTTTTAAAAACAAGAATTATGGAATTGATCGTCGGTTCGGTGATTAGAAATGATTTTATTAGGTTGAAACGTGCATCTTCTATAATATACCTTTTATAGTATGATTAATTATGTAAAATTTAAAATTTATTATGTTATTGTTATGGTTTGGATAGTAAATAAATAAATAAATAAATAATAATTTTAAGAAAAATTTCACAGAAACAAAAGGATTTTTCTTTTTTTTCTTTTTAAAGTATTTTTCATATTACATTACATTGTATGGAATAATTATTCAAAACTATTAAGATTATTTATGATTATTAATAAAATCAATGCAGTTAAGTAATCCATTTATAAACATGATCAACTCTTTTATCTTATGAATATTTTAAAAATCTTTTATAATAAAGTAAGTTCCCCACGAGGATCATCATCTTGAGTCTTGATTTTTTTTGAATGTAAATTTCACAAACACTTAGATTAACATGTTCAAATTTATAACTTGCAATAAAAATCAAAAAGGTTTTAATATTTTTATAAAAAATGAACTTTCCTTTTTTGCTTAAAAATTAGATTATCAAACAAAAATCAAATCATTATAAAAAAAAAAAAAAAAAAAAAAAAAAAAAAAAATAATAATAATAATAATCAAATAACTTGTTTATTATTGATCATCCCAATTTTTTTTTCTTCTAATAATTGCTAAAAAACTAAAAAAATTTGAAAAAAGTCTTTTATTTCAAGAATTTTCATGAAATAAGCGAGACTGATCTTCTTGATTTCACGTGATTTTTATGCGGAACTTATTATTATTATATATATATTTTTTTTATGTATCGTAATAAACACGATTTTCATGTTTCATGACGTCTTCATATAAAGTTGTGTGACACCTGGAACAACTTAGCTAGTAGTCGAAAATATTCGGTTGGTCTTTTCTTCACTTTTTTTTTGACTTCGTTCAAAACTAGCTTTCTAGTACGTATTGTGTCATACTCTTATAATACAATTAAAAGTTACACACTTTATTCTAAAAACTTACTTTATTCGAACAAATTCTTGGTTTGTTCTTCGACTTTGTTTCTTTTTTTTCGTGTGAATCGCCATTTTCCCACAAATTTATTTTTAATACCGTCAAATTGTCTTCAATCAACGCCTCATCAGGGGCGCAAAAGGAAATCATCATGGGACAAACACAGGACAAGTTTGTGGACGAACAAAACGAAGATGGTTCACAAGATTCTTCTACTGTGGAAAACTCTGTGATTACTGAAGCATTTAATGTTGCTTCGGAATCCATAGTTCACCATGATAATGGTTTCTTATCGCCCTCCATAAAGGACTCTCAATTAAAAGAAAATTGTTCAAATTCCGAAATTGACGACTTAGATCCTGGTGGTAACCGAAGTGAAAAGAAAAAGTCTTTCACTTCAGATGGTAATGATCACAAGGAATTTATGGAAAAAAATGAGAATTATAATATACGCCTAACTACCTCTACGATAGATTTTACAAATAATTCTCTCGCAAATTCACTTTCAGGTTTATCAATTCGAGATTCTTCCGATTGCATACCAACTGCATCGGTTGTACAAGCGACAACTGTAAAAAACATTTCACTAAATAAAGAATCTCCAAATGGTATATTAACAAAAAACTTTGAAGAGAACTTTAATGTGAATTCAAATGTGAATTTGAATATGAAAGGTGATACTTGTTCATCACCATCATCACCGCCACCACAAGATAAAAATGAATCCATTCATAAAAAAACATCCAAAGAAATAAAATCAACTTTAGCTGATGAATCTGAATATACAATACCACCTGCTATAGCTGAAGATGTTTTAAGAGAAATGTTAGCAAATAAACCAAGTCAAGATTTACTTGAAGAATTAGAATCAACACCGGTAATTATAAATGGAAAAAATGAAAATTCTTCATTAAAATGTAAAGTTGATTCGGTTACTCATGAAAAAAATGGTGAGTCTTCTGAACCGATTAAAAATAGTATTAAAAAAAACAATTTGTTAATCTCGTCTAGCGTGACAGATTCCCTTTTCCCTTCCAAATTTACTTTTCCCAATATTGCGGATAAAAATTTTTTTCTACCGAATTTTTCAAATCCATCTGCTACTACTACTACTACTACTACCATTGCTGCTACTACTACTACTACTACTTCTGAATCATCCACTTTTTCATTTGGAAATTCTTCTGAATTATCATCACAAAATCCTTTTCAAAGTCCTTCTATTATTTCTTCATCCCATATTTCTTCTACAAATAATTTTATGAATCCAAAAGATCAAAGGCGCGTACCACTTCAATGGCATCCTCCAGTTCTTGATAAATTTTCACCACAATTATCATCCAAAACTCCATCTATAACAATGCCTTCAAGTTCCATATGGCCACCTTCAATAAATACCACATCACCAACTGATACACAATTTTCGAATTCCAATTTATTATTTCCACAATTTACGGGATCATTTAAATTTGATATGAATTCGAAAAATGTAATAATTGGAACCCAATCTAATGAATCATCATCATCATCACCACCACCACCACCGCCACCATCATCATCATCATCATCATCATTGGATAGGTCATCCACCACACCACCACCATTTTCAACCACTCCACCATCAAGTCCACCTGTAAAAACTCCATCAATTTCTCCTCCTCCAACATCTATTACAACTATAAAGAAAGGAATACATTCAAATGTTAATCTTTCTAGAACCACAACTTTGTTTGTCTCGACAAAAGCACCACCATCATCACCTACAAAAAGTATGGATAATATAAATACAAACAATAACAGTAATAATAATAATAATAATAACAGTAATAATAACAACAACAACAACAACAACAACAATAATAATAACATTGGACATTCCCCAACTTTGATGGTTTCATCATCAACAACTCCTGTTATTAAAAAGTTACCAATGAAATTTGGAGACATTAGTATATCAAGTACAACATCACCACCATCAATAAAAGGAATTACTATTAATGTCAATAGTTCTAATAATATAAATTCTTCTTCTTCATCTACTTCTTCTTCTTCTTCATCAACATTACAAACTTCACCACCTAGAGGTTTTGCTCATAATGCAACAAACACTTTTCCATTTTTCAGGCCAATTCGAAAGTTACCATCAAGAATTAAATCTCGCCTCTCACCAAATGAAAGTCCAAATGGTGTTATTATCAATAATAATCATAATAATAATAATGTTCATAATAATGTTCATAATAATAATAATAATAATAATAATAATAATACCAATAATCATCATCACAATAATGTTCATAATACAAATAATAATAATAATAATAACAATAATAACAATAACAATCTAAATAACAATAATAACAATCTAAATAACACTAATAATAATAATAATAATAATAACAATGAAATCATTGGTAATGTTGGTTTTAATGTAAAAAATGACCTTGTCAAAACAGTAATAACACCAACATCTCAACCTATACAAGTAATTCCACCTTCACCTTTATTTTCTTTTACGACACCAGCCAATTCTGAAGATGAAGATGATTTTGATGCAGAAGAGGAAGATGGAAATAATGATAATGGTCATACTGATTGGTTAGATAATGCAAATAATAAAAAGAAAAGGAAAGCTTTACAAACTGTGGGAGGTGGATCAACAACGAGTAGTGGGGTTGGAGGAGTAATTAAAACTTCAACTACGAAAGAGAGAGCAAATCCATTAAGAAGAGTGGAAAGACGTTCAACACAAAGGAATATTAATGTTATTAATAAATCTTCATCATCATCATCATCATCAGGAAATGATAATAATAATCATACAAATAATAATAATAATACAAATAATAATAATAATAAAAATAATAATAATCATCATCATACAGTGATACCTGCATTTGAAAATAAGGGTTTAAATAAAGAAATAGACAGTGTAAGACCTCCTCAAACAAATACATTTGATTTCTCATTTAAATCTATTCCTGAAAAATCTGCTGCATTGGCTGCTGCAAGTGTTAATGCTGCCAGTGCCAAAAGATTGGCCGCCGTATCACCTATTCAAACAATGAATTCAAAGAATGATCCTTATTCTTCACCATTATTTTTACAACAATCACAAACTGTAACGACGACAACGACGACGATCATTCCCACATCAAGTAATTCGAAAAAGAAAGCTTCAACAAAACGTGCTGCTCCCTCTTCAGTTGCATTTAAAAATGATGATGTGATATTAAATCATAATCATAATCATAATAATAATAATAATAATCATATACGTCCTCAAACTGCCATAAGGTCCAAAGCACTTTTACCACCATTACCTCCACCCCCTCCCGTAACTCCTAAACGGATACCAAATTCTGGACGTAAAAAGAATAAGAAAAAATCTCAAACGAATTCGAACAATAATAATAATAATAGTAATAATCATCATCCTCATCATCAAAGTATACAGAGTCAACATAATAATAATTTATCATCATCATCACATCATCATCAACAACACCATCAACATCATCAACAGCAGCAACAACAACAACAACAACAACAGGATGACACGTCTTCAACTTCCGGTTCCGTGGATATTCAATCGGTTAATAATAATCATATTCCAAGACGAAAAATTAAATTTCCAGAAAAAAATGGGGATTGGATTTGTATGTTTTGTGAATATCGATTGTATTACGGTGATGGAAGGCGACGAAGGCGACCTAAAACGATCACCGGAAATATGAATGGTAGCGATGGAATGAACAATAATACAATGGAAGGGGGGAATTCGTCTGATAAGGCAATTGCAACTTGAAAAAAAAAATCAAATTAAATAATAAAAAAGGTAAATTTAAAATTCAAAATTTTTTTAAAAAAAATGAACTTTCAATGTTTTTTTTATTAAAAAAAAAATAATTTCACAATTTGCATTTATTTTTTAAAAAAAAATTTTAATTTGTATATATATAATAATAATAATAATAATAATAATTATCAAAAATGTGGAGAATAGGAAGGAACTTATTTACTCACTCAAAAAAAAAAAAAAAAAGGTGATATATATAAGTTTTTTTTTTAAAAAGAAAAAAAAGGGAGGTTTTTTTTTTATTCTCTGATATGTTCTTTTTATTCGCATTGGAATACTCATGTTCCTTTCAAAATATTTTTATAAAAAAAAAAACAAAAAAAAAAAATTGAGAGGGACTTGAGAAAAAAAAATTCAGTGGGTGTGGTATGACTTGTAATTTCTCTTCTTACTTTAGATCAGAATTGCGGTCAAGTTTTAGTTGATGCAGCAAGTATACATATATCGCTGTATAATACGGCTCTTTGAATGTCATATTATAATTCATTCTTCCTCTCATCACATCACATTAAATGATCATCATCATCATCATCGCGATATAACAAACAACATCATAAGAATATTTTTTAAAGAGAAAAAAAAATTAAATATGTTCCCAATTGTAGGTATTAAAATTCCAATGTTATTTTTTTTTTCTGTTTGCCTGTTTCTTTCTGTTCGTTCTCCTCCCACCTCCCTTTTTTTTTTTTAAGCTTGCTTTACTTATTTTTGTAAGGTGACTTTCTCTATCATTAATCATCATCATCACAAAGATTGTATACTGATAAACATACATACCAAAAAAAAAAAAAAAGGAAAATTTTTTTAATAAAAGATTTCGATTTTACACAATATATTTGAAACTTTTTTTTGATGGTGGTGATTACCCATTCAATAATGGCAATAATTGTATTTTGGTTTGGGTAATTGCCAAAATGATAAAATATATTGGAGCCACTTTGTTATTTTTAGCAAATTGGTAGATATGGAATTTTAATTGGTTCAGATAATCATACGGATAATCAGTTAATCATTTGAAATTTTTTTAAACAATGACTCGCAAATAACAATGTTTATTTATTTATATTTATTTATTTATTTTATGGTATTGTACGTTACTGGTAGTACCCTGTGCATTAAAAAAAATAAAAAATTTATAGACATTTTTTTTTTTAAAAAAAAAGGATTCAAATTTTGGTTAGATTCATTTCCTATTCGAGTAACATATGGATTTCCTTTAACGGAACGTTGATCGTTTACTACTGGTCCATGCTACGTAGATCGATCTGTTTTCTTACTTAATCATGTCATGAGATTATTCATTATTTTTAAATTATTTGATCGTTAAAAAAAAAAAAGTTTTTATATCACGAATTATTTTTAAATTATCCATTGTATGATACATCTACAGTATGTAATTGAACTCCAGGTAATTAGATTTATAAGGAATTCTTGTAAAATGCTAACTGGATCATAATAAATAAAAAAAATAACTTTATAATATTTTTTTTTTATGTAATCAGTAAAATATTAAACTATTAATACAAAAACATATGACTTTAAATAAATTAAAAATTAGACAGATTCAAATAAGATTAAAAAAAATAATAATGAATTTTTACTAAAAATTCTTGTGTGATTAAATCTTTATTACACTTCATATAATTTTTGATGGAATTAAAAATTGTAGGTTAAAAAAAAAAAAATATAAAAATCGTATAAAGGTGAAAAGCATTAAAAGATTACCTGTGACAATGCCGGTGAACAAAATAATATGATCGATTTTATTAATATTTAGTAATGGTAATTTTTGACTTGATTAAAAACTCTATAGAAAAAAGAAGTGTAAAAGGTGAAACTTAATGTAGGAAAAACTTAGATATCAAATCTATTTTAAAAATTTATTTTAAAAACTAAATTTCTGTATGGTGTTGTCAAAACTCAGTTCAGAAGGTTGCCAATGGTTCTTTTACTGAATTTAATTATTGAAAACTATATTTCTGAAGTTATAAAAGAAATTAAAGCTCATTTATTTTAGTGTTAATAACAAGAATATCTCTTTCTTTTCTTAGTAAGTAAAAATGATTCTCACTTTTCTGGAAATATTTCATTTAATTTTTTTCCTTTTAATTCTTTTATGCCTTTTATATATCCTTGAAATTAGGGTTATGTTTTCTAAAAGTTTAATTAATCTTTTTTTGGTAATTTTAACAAGTATTGTATTGCACATCAAACATCAAACTGTAAATAATTCTATTCAGAACGCGAACGTATTAATAAATAAAGAAAAAGTGTGATTTCATAAAGCCTGATTATATTTATGATTAGTCCTCCTTTGATGTTTATTTTAATCTTAAATTTTATTACATAAATAATTAATATCCTAAATGCTAAATATCATGTAAAGATTATAAAATATAATGTAATTTAAACAATATAAAATTTAATTTATATCGTCTAAATTAATCTTATCTATATACTGTATTTATTTATATCAAGTTTTGAAAAAGATTCATGAATTGCTAAACTTTGTTTGCTTAAAGGTTGGCTTATTAGATCTGTTTCAGATCAAGTAATTTTATTATGTAATGAATTCAGAATCTTCATTTTACATTTCTTAATCTGCCTTTAAAAACCTAAGTCTATTTTCTGTTTTTCTATCATAAATTAATTCTTTAATCCATTTCTTTAATATATTGAAATTTTTTTAGCACTTGGAGATTTAGGTGAATCATTGTGCCAACATTTTTTCATCAAGTTAACATAGCATTGAAGAGTTTCTTAATGAATTTTTTTGGACGATATCCATTGAAAATAACTATTGCAAGTTCTGGATCATATAATTCTTCTTCAAATGGTATTTTTCCTTTTTGATATTACCCACATAATAATTCCAACACTATAAATATCTGAAGCTTGTGTATATTGATTTTTATTCGTGACTTTTGGTGCAATATATGGTAATACACCATATGTTCCATATGATAAGATTTCGTTTACTGGTCTGAATAATCCTAAATCTCCCGATCTTATGAATTTTGAACTATCATTTGCTTCAGTTATCAATCCTTTACGGTAAATTTTTCCTAATCCTCTAATAAAAGAATTCAATAATCATAACCGTTCTTTCCAAGGCAGTATCTTATTTTGCTGAAAAAGTTTATCCAATTTTAATCTTTTATATAACACAAAACTATTCGTTTTTGGATACCTAAAATTGATAAAACATATTTATCTCGACAATGGAGGTTTACTATTAACTATATTATAAAGTTATAAAATTATAAAAGTTAAAATTAAATATTTCACACATTAGAAAATCAATATATATTAATATAATTACCTCATTTAAAAATTCAGAACTAATTTGTTTTGAATTCTTAAGTTTCTTCAAAGCAACTTGATTTGATCCTCCTTCAGATAAGTATTCTATATCTTTAAATTTACTATAATTTATCCATCTTCAAATTTCCCATTCCTTTGCACTTTCATCTAATTGGAACATGTGAATAATCTTGTCAACTTCATAATTTACCACTGGTCCATTTTGACAATAAAATTTAATGCAAGTTTCATTGCAACCATTTTCTTTCCAACAGATGCAGCAAAAACTATAGTCATTTTTAACATCTTGCATTAATTTATTTTCATTTTTCTTAATCTTTGAGATTCCAATTTCATTTCATATAAATATTCAAGTGAACCCTGACCAATATTATTTCCTCCTTCTGCTGACTTTATTTACCATTGAAATGCTTTCTCATTATCTTTTGTTGTTCCAATTCCATAATAATGATAACAATAACCAAGATTGTTCTGTCCTGAAGTATTTCCACCTTCAGCTGATTTTAAGTACCACTAAATGCTTTCTTTTCATCTTTAGTGATTCCAATCCCATTTTCATAATAATAACCAAAGATTATTCTTCCTGTCACTATCTCCACCTTTAGCTGATTTCAAGTACCACTGAAATTCTTTCTTTTCACCTTTTTTTGTTTGGATTTTATTGTATTGCATGAATAGGAGGTTGCGAATTGAACATTTATTTGACAAACCAAAGTGTAAATGACTGACGTAATTTGTCTGTATATTTTATTAATTTATTTTTTCTATCGTATAAATCATTTTGACAAAATTAAAGGTTTTAAAATTTATATCCCATTTAAAACTACATTAAGTTCAAAGATTTTTATTTTTATGGATATTTTATTCTGCTGAATATAATTTCAACAGAAAACATGAATATTTCTTTTATTTTAAACCAATGCAACATTTAATTGGTTTATGCATTCTAGAATTTCTATTATTCCGGAATTTCATGTGCATGCATCAAGATTGTATTTTTAACAAAGTAGAATACTTTTGTACTCATATTCATTAAATAGAATAGCTGCTGGAATAATTTAAGTATTTACATTTATTTAATTGAATAAAATACGAAAGTAAATAATTATATAATTACGAAAAATTGAATAAACAATATTTATTTTGATGCATACAATAAAAGAATAGAATTTTTTATGTTATGAGAAAACCTATTCCTCACATGGTGGTGAATTTTCGCTTTGGTAAGCAGATCACATGAAAAATATAACAGATAAAAAATATAATTCGTTATAATTTAATAATAATAAATAATATAAATGTTATTATTTTCTAAAGATTGAATTTCTAACTAGTCCTCTTAATAACCTTAAATACTTCATAATCAACAATTGATAAATTATTTGTTGCTGTTCTACATAATAGGTTTTTCGTAATAACTATGACCGATATAAATATTACATTTATACATATAAAGATCATTGCCAAAATGTGGACCATTATGTACTTGTTCATATTTGTTACAATAATAAATTGCACAATTAAATTGTTTACTCTACTAATAATTGAATTTTGTATATTGCCATTTTTCAATGAGAAAATAAAGCTATCATTAGTATTTTCCTATCTACCACTGGTATTAGTATCCCAAGCTAAAGGATTGTATCCTCCCAGGATTTCGCCTGTTCCTATAATTTTTATAATCATTACAGTATCAGCATGTCCATGAATTTATCCCAAAAAGTTTGAGGAGTAAATCCATCTATACTACCTCTTAAAATTAATTGAAACTCACATGGAGTGTTTGCTAAAGAATAAGTACTAGATTTACAGTCAATCCAAGAGGAAATTTCAGCAACATGTCCATGCGTATAATAGTGGAAAATGGTTTTGTTAGATATGTTGTACGGGCAGGCAATTCTTGAATTAAAACTGATCTCGGTGGTAAAATTATTGATTTCACTGGTTGGTCAGGAACAATCAGATGTTGATTCAAATCTTCCCATAATTGTTTATCAAAAATTTTCTTGAAAGGTTTTACTTTACTCCAAAAGCCTTCATTAGAAATATGGAAATATCGAATTAATGGTAAACATTGCTGCAAAGTATTTTTTTAATGTTGTATAATTTTCTTTAGTCCATTCTTTAAGGTCTACAGGTAAATTGGAATTCTGAGCTATTCCCCACTTAATTACATATTCCCAAATTATGATCTCTTCAAGTTGCAAATCATCTCGTTTAAGGAGAGAAATCAATACAGATTCTTGAAGAGAAGCGAAATCTCCAGCATCGAAAATAAGATTCGGATACTTTGTAATAATATTATTGCAAAATTTTCTAAATCTTTAAAGTTATTTCCGTTAAAAATTGAACGATAAATTAAAGAAAAATGAGATTTTAACCAAGAACTTTTAGTTTCAATAAGATGATTTTCCAATTTCTTGGTCAACTCTTCAATTTCAAGTTCATTAGCTGCCATCATTAAATCAAAAATAAATCTTGTATCAACATTCTCGAAATTAACAATTCCGCCATAAATATATCTTATAAAATAAATATTAATTATTAATTTAAAGTAATACATTATTGTTAATATTGGCATATTTATTAAAGAATAATTGATAACTTACTTAAGTATCATATCAAAAATTACATTAGAAATATTTGGTTAAGTAATTGTCTTAACATTATTTTCATTCGGGATAATATTTTCTAATTATGAAAGTAGGATGAGTGATACTTCAATATGTTTGAATGAGAGGTAAAAGATTTCTTATTCTCAACTTCAATGATTACATTATAATCATTATCTTTATCGTTAAGAAGGTCAATAAAATTTTGGGATAATTTGTCAAAGACATTTTATTTTTTAAAAAAATAGAATATTGTTTAATTGTTTACTTATATGACCAATGAATGAATGATGTATTCTACTTTTCAAGCCTAATTAATCTAATTATGGTATAGTAATTTATACATAAAGATTTCTAATATCATAATTTACATAATAATCGTAAATATTATTACCGTACCCAAAATATGATCATAAAAGGATTAGCATAAACTAAGGTCTAATACTTTCTATATAAACCATTTAGTCAATGATACAATATGAACTTTTTATACAGAATTTCAAGAGACAAATGTTCAATATTACAGCAATAAAAATACAAATGATTCGAAAATTTTTTTTGGAGTTAATATAAAAAAGTTCAGATATTTATTTAATTTAAAAAAAAAATGAACAAGTGCTATAGATTTAGAAGGGAATCTAGGGTTAGCTAATAACTCTTTTTATTTATTCTGGGTTGTAGCCTCCATTTGAAGGATGAAGGTTTGTAGTACCACGACTGTATAGAATAAACTAGGCTTAATCTTGGTTGGGAATTAGTGTAGATATCCTCTTAGAATTGTATTTTTCTACTTCTCTTTTCCTTTACTTTCTTTTCCTTTACTTTCTTTTCCTTCTTTTTCTTTCTCTATACAACATTTAAAAAATGTCAATAAATAATATTATATCCTAGATTAAGAATTGATGTACTTACTATACGGTCTATTATAATCCTTTCCGTCTCATCATTTAACAAATCAGCTCTTGGACCCACCTATTAAATAGATTAAATAGAAATTAAATATATGTTACTACATAAATTATATCAAAGATGATATAAATAGATAACATCAAGGTGATATCGAGAATGTATTAATTTTACCATGACGTATGTAGAAATAAATCCCATATAATTAGGGTGGATATTTTCTATTAAAATATCATTAAGAACCATGATTTTAAAAATCTTTTCTATTTCATCCCGAGTGAGATCCGTGGGTTGGAATCCTGGTGGAAGTTTAAGGTTTTTTCTTTGAACAATTTTTATTAAGTTTTTATCAGTATCTTGATTCATCATTTTAACTATTTGTTGCATTGTTACATGTGCTCTTTGATTTAATTTTATAAGTTGTACCATAATTTTGGCTATTTCGGTAGCATCAAATTGTATTCGTGAGATGGTTGGTTGATTTTGACAATTATCACATCCTTGTTTACATTCTTTACGATCAAAACTTTCTTCAAAATAATGTAATATTATTTCCCGTCGACAATCAATTTGATTTTCACAATATCGAATCATTTCTTTTAAATTTTCTCGTTGTTGCCTTTTTTGAACATTCTCTCCTTCACAAGAATCAATTAATTTTTGTATAGGGAATTTATCCGCATATGAATAGAATAGTATACATTTTGAATCTAATCCATCCCTTCCAGCTCGACCAGTTTCTTGATAATATCCTTCTAAAGATTGAGGGAAAGAATGATGAATTACATATCGTACATCTGGTTTATCAATTCCCATTCCAAATGCATTTGTTGCTACAATAATGTGAATACGACCACTATGCCAATCATCTTGAAGTCTTAATCGATCTTGTTTATCCATTCCTGCATGATAATAAGCTGCTTTCAATCCATGTTCAGTAAGTTTTTTCGCAACCTTTTCGCATGAAGCTTTAGAAGTACAATATATAATTCCTGTTTTATCTTTATTAGATGAATCTTGAATAAATTTATAGATTTGTCCTTCTACATTAGAACTCTTTTTTCGAACTTCATATATCAAATTTTTTCTATTAAATCCAGTTGTAAAGACTTTACAATTTGATATTCCAAGATTACGTATTAGATCTTCTCTGACTATCGTAGTTGCAGTTGCAGTAAGTGCCATCACTGGTATATCAGGGAATATACATTTCATTTTTCCTAACTCTACATAATCTGGTCTAAAATCGTGACCCCATTGACTAACACAATGAGCTTCGTCAATCACAAATCGGCCCAATCGTCCTTTACTATAAAATAATTGAATTAAACCTTGTAATTTATTACTTCTATTTATCATTTCTGGTGTCAAATAAAGTAAGGTGAGTTTAGATACAGGATTATCAAGTTCACGATAAATCATATTTCGGTATCCAGAATCTTGGTTTGCTTCTATTCCCAAAGCATAAATTCCCAAATTATTTAAATGAGAGATTTGATCATGCATAAGTGATAAAAGTGGAGAGATCACAAACGTGACTTTGTTATTTCTCTTATTATCTAATACAGCAGGTAATTGATAACATAAACTTTTTCCTCCACCAGTAGGCATTAAACTGAATACATCATCTCCATTAAGGGTTGAAATTATTGCATCTAATTGGTTTAATCGAAAACTTTTTAATTTGAAAACATCTTGTAATATATTTAATATATCGGGATCTACCGTCTCTATCTTTTCTACCTTCTCTACCATTGTTGATTGTGATTTTATTTTCGAATCACATGAACTCAAATCCGAAGTTGAATTGATCAAGTTACTTTCATCACGATCGCAAGAGTTGATAGTAACTCTAAATTTTTTAAATTTACCTAAATGGATGGTTGTAGAATTTGGTTAATTTTAAAAATTTTGTGTACCATTTTTGATTTCATTAAAATATCTTCATAATCCAAATGAAGATGAATTACTATTCTTATCAACATTATCTTCAATATTATTAGTCTTATTTATTTCATAGTTATTTTCGGAAGATGCATTTTTACTTAATTCTCCATTAGTTATTAAATAATGCTTGCGATAATTTGTTCCAAAGTTATGTCGAACTGCCAAAATGTTTTTTGGTAATTTTTGCGTGATACTAAACAACGAAGAGAAGGAGTGTTTCATAAATAATAATTTATCGAATTAATGTTAAAATATAAATATATTTAATATACTGACAATAAACTTCTACCAATCATTAGTGGTCACGTTGATAATTATTCACTATTTCAGTATAGAAAAATTTATCAAAGACTTTGACTACGCGAATTATCTTTCTAAAAATTCTCGTAACACAATCATACTCCTTATTACGTGCCACCTGTGATACCATCAAGAAATTTTTTTAGGCGTAAATCTCCGTAATATTACGACACTACATATATTTTATATTTTACGGGGGTCGTTTTGAATTTAAACAGGAACATCTCGGCAGATATCGGTACTATAGGGATGAAACACATATTATCTTGTATCCTAGAACAGACTTTCGATCGATTATAAGAACATCGTAATTTCTTTGTGAAATTTAACGCTGTTTTTGACTTCGATCGCGATTTGTAAGACAGGAAGCGATTTTCTATTAAGATTTGATACAACAGTAGTATTTTATTGTAACAAAGCATTATTTAAAAACTCTTTACTAAAATTTTTTTTTATTATATACTAAAATACAAGCTATTGTTTGAAAGTTTAATTTTTATATCATGTATTTTCCCATCTTGTAGGAGAAATAGGAATCAAGTTAAAATTTTAATTTTAGACTCCGAAGTCTTTAAATGAGTAGCAATGTAACATTAAAGGGATTATTGTATCGAATAAATCTCTTGTAATTTTAAGTAATCCTACACAAACATCTTTGGTATTTGTTCAAAATATTAATGACAAACCAGATGGAAGGTCAATTTTTTATCTAGTTTATCCAACAAAAATTTTTAAATATTATGTGAAACCTATTATGCTGAAATTTCTAATTGCTACTTTTATCAGGTTTATTTATTTTAATATTTGTAAACAGAAGAAAAATTCATCCGAAAATTTGAAAATTATGAAAAATCCATTATTTTAAAATTTAATGAAGGGTTGCGTGTTTTATTATTAATCGGCAGGTATGTAAACTGAATATTTGATATAAAGATTTGCGTGCTGAAGAAATAAATGAAGATTTAATTCGTGATTCGTGATTCGCGAGAAACGGAAAGATCTACATTAATAAATTGCAGAGATAAGTTATATAGTAAAAATATATATATGCGATAATCTCAAGTCGGAATGGGAAAATTACAGAAGTTATTTATCAATTATGATAAAAAAATATTTTTAAAGTCAAATGGTTAATTATTAAAATAAGATAAAGTTTCCTTTTTTTAATAAAGTGAATAATAAAAATAAAATTTCAATACATCTAAGTGAAAAATAAATCAATAAACAACAATGACATACCAGATCCAAATAATGGAACTTGATTTTTGTGAGATGTATTTGAATCTTTAAACTAAAATTTTTATCACGTCATATAGCAAGAAATTCCAGAGACAGAGATTGACTTTAATACTTTATTTATCATAAGCGCGAATAAAATTATATTTTTTTTTTAACCAAAAAAAAATTGAAATTTCTTTTAATGGGGTGGTAAAATAAAATTACTGTACATTTTAACGAATTTATTTGGGCTAATTGAAGTTTTAAAGTTTCATAGATATGTAGTCCTAGATTTGAAATCTTCTAAAATTATATATATTTTTTATAATCTCTGCCAATTTTAGCTCGACTTTTGCTTTTATATTTTTTTGTGATTTTAATAAGTGTTTCCAAAGTTCTTCATCAATTGTAAAATCTATACAGAAATCTTAGAACGTAAATAGATAAAAAAAGTATGATCATAAAGACAAGTGCGTCTGACTTTAAATATTTATGATTAGTCATCCTTGATGTATATTTTTGTTAATTATATTTAAATTTATTACATATAATAAATATCCTAAATACTTTATTTGCTTTAAATATTATACAAAGATTAAAGTTTGATATTGAAAATAATTTGAAAACTATTGATGACATTAATTTTGTATTTATTGGGTTTTACAAATACAATATATTTTAGTTTTACAAAATAAAGTTATTTTGTATATATAAATTGTAATGTAATTCAAAAAATATAAATTTAATAATTAATCATCTAAATTGATCATATCTATGTATTTATTTATATCATATTTAGAAAAAGATTCAAGAATTGCTAAATAATGTTGCATTAAAGGTTGGCTTATAAGTTGTGTTCCAAAATAAGTAGTTTCATTATATAATGATTCAGAATCTATGTTTTGCATTTGTTGATCTGCATTTAAAAACACCATGTTCTTTTTTGATTTTTTAAAAAAGGTTAATTTTTCAAGCCACTCCTCTAATATAATAAAAATTGATTCAGCATTTGGTCGTTCAGACGGATCAT